AGTAACTGCCATCGGGATAATCGATTCAACTTAATATGCTGAAGATCAGGTTCTGGTAAAGAAGTTAGGGCTTCCCCAAGAAGGAAGTGCGCTGGAGTTAATGCTGATAGTTCATTTGGATCTTCACTGATTGGTGTCAGAGGTCGCGAATTCAAACAAGCTTCAATTTGATTAAATACAGTGGTTAATTCTTCATAAGTAAGAATTTGATTGCCTATGATCCGTCTCATATGCTTCTTAGCAGATTTGATATTTGATTCCCATAATCCGCCAAAATGTGGGGAATGAGGAGGAATAAAGTGCCAGTTTATACCTTGATTACAACTAGTTGAAACAACTTCCTGTTTAGTACTGTCTTTATTCAAAAATTGCAGTAACTCCCGAAGCTCATTGTTAGCACCGACAAAGTTTGTGCCATTGTCACTAAATATATCAGTGGGCTTACCTCTTCTTGAAGTAAACCTTCTCAAAGCTGCTATAAAAGCTGCAGTTGTTAAGTCACTTACGACCTCAAGATGGACTGCTTTTGTAGCCATGCAGATAAATAACGCTAAATATGATTTCCAGTGTTTTGTTGTTCTTCCATGTGACACCTTAATAGGAAATTGTCCTGCGTAATCTATTCCAACCTTCGAAAAAGGTCGCAGTTGTTGAACACGATATTGTGGAAGGACGCCCATTTGTTGACTTTCTTCCAAAGCTCGATCTCGAAAACAAGCAATACAGTCTTTAGTATACCTCTTTACTGAAGTTCGAGTATGCGGAATCCAGAACAGTTGTCGAATTTGAGCTATCAAGAGATTAATGCTCGAATGAAGCAGAAACTTGTGAAAATATTGCACGATGATTTTTGTGAGGTGGTGTTTCTCTGGTAACAGTAGTGGATGTCTTGCATCAAAACTGATACAGCATTACTGTATTTGCATTTTGCAGTCTGCCTCCAACTCGAAGACAGCACTGCTCATCAACAAATGGTGCGAGTGCACGCAATCTGTGCTTTGAGTTATTTGTTTTAATTGCTTCAAAAACATCTATAAAGCAAACCTGCTGTACATGACGTACAATGCAGATCGCTGAATCTTTTGTTTCTGTTGGAGTTAACTGTCCTATTTGTCTATTTTTCTTTTCTTTCTTACAGTTGTTAATAAATCTTCTGCAATAAGCAAGAATGCGTTGAAGTTTTAATCATGAAGATGATTTTCTTATATTGAAAGGTTCTTCAATATCAGTTTTGCCTGTGAAAGCGACTGTTGTCTTCTTTCTTTCTTCTTGAACATCATAATAATTGATTGTATTTACCTTCCAAGTTAGTTTCTCATCGTAAAGAAACCTTGGTCCATTCCACCATTGATCACACGAGTTTAACGTAGCTGGGTTAAGCCCACGTGACGCATAGTCTGCAGGATTATCTTTGGATTTAACGTGCTTCCAATGTTGTGGAGGAAGATAAGTCTGAATCTCACTTACTCGGTTTGCCACGAAAGTTTTCCAATTTCTAGGCTCACTTTTAATCCAAGACAAAGCTATAGTTGAATCTGACCAAGCGAAAATGTTTTCTTTATTTATTTGCAATTGTTGATTCACTCGATGCATTAGCTTAGCTAAGAGTTGTATAGCACAGAGTTCTAATCTAGGAAGAGTCACAACCTTTAATGGAGCCACTTTAGTCTTTGCACAGAGTATCTTGATTACAACTTCTCCCTGAATATGTTGCCTGCTGTATACGACAGCAGCATAAGCTCGTTCAGATGCGTCAGCAAACCCATACAGTTGAAGTGGATATTTTCTGTCAATAGCATGACGTGGTATTTTTATTTCTGTTAATGTTTGAAGTTCAGCCCTAAAGCCTTTCCATTGTTCTGCAATGACTGTAGGTAGCAATTCATCCCATGTTGTTCCAATTGTCCAAAGGCGTTGGAGCATCATTTTGGCCTTGATTGTGACTGGTGCTAACCAACCCAATGGATCAAATAGTCGTGCGATGTCTGAAATTACAGTACGCTTTGTAGGTGGTTGACTAGAGAATTTACACAACACGAAGTAAAATATATCCTCCTTAGTGCTCCAATTAAAACCTAAAGCCTTCGTTAAGTCAGATACCTTAATGTGATGATTGTCAGTACTCTCAGATTGTTGTAAGGCTGATATCACTGTCCTGTCATTTGAGATCCACTTGCGAAGATAAGATTGTCCTTTATTTAGCACTCGAAACTTTAGCAATTTACGGCTTGGGAAATGTTTGTTATAGATAAAAAACTGATAGTGACAATTGGAAGTGTCTTTGTAACGTACATAATTATACTGAATCAAATGCAATAGAACAAAATTAAATTTTGTAACTATAAATGAACTAAATATTTAATAATTTATACGAATTTTTGTTCGACTGTAATTATTGCTGATGCTATATAACATTGAGCAAAAGTGTATTTCTGCCAGTACGGTTAGAAGAATTATAAATAGATAATGCCAAAAAAGCAAGAAAAGTCATAATCACAATTACATACATAAAGAAGTCATCATAATTAAGTAAAATATAACTAGGCAACAGTATTATATCTTTAATTCATATCATTAAATTACTTGCCTGGCCCAGTGTGTCACTCGTGTTAAGAGTTATTACATTTATTGTGCTAAAAGCTCTAATGTCAAAGTAATATGAAACAAGATGCTTCACTTTATGGTTTTATTTTTATTACATTATATGTCATGTATGTCATGCTTTAATCAAACCTGACATAAAGCTCAGTATCTACAAATGTTATTTGTAGGGTAAATATACAATACTGTACAATATAAATCCCGTGTGCATAATCACGTTCGCATCATATTTATATGTAATCTTAATAATATATCACGCAACTTAAACAGTTTAAATATTACTAATAAAAAAGCTGTTGTCTGTGTGTGTGTATGTGTGGGTTAATACTTCATAACTCGTGCAATTTGTCAAAAGCTGCAGGAACAGTATCACAACGTCAATCATCCTAACGATATTAAATTGTCTATTACTAAAAGAAGAAAGAAAGAAAACCTTTTAAAAGATATTACAGTGTTTAATCCGAATGGAATGCATAGTTATTTTATAAAAAACATTTCAATATCATTTTAATTAAAGTCTTAAAAAAACTGTTTATGTGTGTGTAAATGAATGCTCCACGAATCCTATCTTTTTGTCCACTTTAAGTTACATTTTATGTTGTTTCTCTTTACGTCACAACAGATGGCATAAACTGCTTAATTTTTAACTTAATTTGACTGTTATAAGCAAAAGGATAATAAAGAAGCATAAATGAAAACATACGACATGGTTCTAAGCAAAAATTTTGGAAACATGTAAGCTAAGAGTTGGACAATGTACAGGGTGTCCAAAAAGTTTGCATTCATAGAAAGGTAAAATGTAACTTTGTTCACAAAACATTAAAATGTCTGCATTAAGATTCGTGTCAGTGGATTGACAGAGTAAGCCAACTGGTAATCTGCCAACGGGTTAACTTCTAGAAAGATTTCTTATGTGGAAGTAGGACTATTTGTAGGTGTTAGACACATGAAGAAAGCCCAGAACCTAGAATTTCAATTGCTATAGAGCAGCATTATTAGATTTTGAAGATGAAGAAAGGTAGTTTCCAGGTCTACAAAACAGACGTTCTATAAATATTTCGAATTTGTAGTAGCATGTTAAATACAGTATATAACGCATTATACACCTGAAGATGTATGAAATATTATATAAAGTTTAATAAAATTTACTAATAAAATTGAATGTTAATGAAAGGTATTTCATTCTAACCAGATGCAAAACTGTTGCATCATTCACGACATAATCATATGATATAAAAGTAATATTCTACTTTAATTTAATTATATAATTATAAATAAATAAGGAACGTGTATTAGATATGTGCACAAAAGTGCATAAATTACTTAAAAACATAGAAGGTACAGTACATAATACAAGGTAATATACGTGTACAGGTGTTTGCTTTGAAAATACAAAAAACTTCGACAACGAAGTCCGATATTTTTTTTGGAACATCATGAAATTTAACATCTATAACAATAATTATTTTCAAGGTAAGTACAGTACAAAACATTTGCAGTAAGGGTTATTAAAGCATCTTCTATACTAGATTCTTCCTTGCTTTTAGTTTAGTTTACAGCGGTAAAAGGGCCGTCTATAAATTACGTAAGGGCGATTTCGGCCATTCCAGGCCCCCACCCACCCCTGTGTAAGAAACCGTAATATTTTTTTTGATACCCCCTTCCCTTCCCTATCTTACGTAATATTTTGGCATAATTTTATAAAAAGGTTTTAACCAAAAAAATTTTTTTTATGAAACCCTAAAAACCTTAAGTCCAAAATATATAAATATTAATTAGTAAATTAATATGTACTATTATTTATAAAAGACTTTATGTGAACAAATTTAAAAATATAAAAATTTAGTAAATTCGAATAAACAATTTCTTTTAAGAACTTTATTTTTTAATTATTAGCAATCTTATTATTATTATCATTATCATTAGTCAACGTCATAATATTTATTTTTATATTAATTTTAATTTTCACAAAAGACACAAAAAACTTTGCCAGATCTAGTGCACGTGTAAACAGAAACGTCATACAAAATAAAACAAGAGAGAATAGAGAGAAACAACATTCTGTTGCCATATTGATTACATCTTGACTGAGGCCTAGAAAATAAACTACATGCTGCTAAAATGTGCTAGGTGCACCTGGGGACTAAATGTAAAACTTTATATAATAGGGCAATACAACCAATGTTACTTTACGCGCCACTAGCTGTGGTCATGTAACTAGTAAAAATTCAGTAGCAAGTAAATTACTCTTTCTTCAAAGCCACCAGAATTTCAAAGTGCTGCAGAAATGTTTTTACCAAGCCTCTCTGATACTAGCAGAGCTTTTTTTTTCTCGCTTTGTATCGTAGAAAAGGTCATAAATTACTACATTAAAACTACAAACATCATGGCTCAACAACGGTCTCTACTCCTATCTACGGCTGTTCATACGCTACCACATTGCAATTACCCTACCATCTATGATCATCATTTTGTAAACAAGGTTATTTGGTGTCATCCGCTTCCTCCATGGATAATCATGCAGACATTAATATTTATACAGATGGGTCCAAAAGCTTTTTTCTTGTCGCTTCAAGTATCTCTATCTTCCTTCAAACTGACATATGTTGCCAAAAAAATGTTAAAAGGTACAAATACCTCCCACATATTTCCATCTATAAAGCTGAAGAAGATGTTGACTACCAAGCTGTTTAGTGGGCCACTTCACTACCAAACAAAACCCTGTCTATCAACATCTACAGTGATTCTCAGTCTGTCCTAAAAGATCTATCAAATCCCAATTGCAATAGCAATAAAATCACATATTTTAAATCGCAAAATTTTGAAAATAAGATAACTTTAATATTTGTTCGTGGCAATACTGGCATACTAGGAAATGAAAAAGCCGTCTTTGAGGCTAAGTCAGCTGCAAAACACACTGATTTAAACTATACTCACATCCCTCTCTTACGTAGCAGCCTTAAAATTTATATTCATGACAATGCTATGCAAAAGTGAAATCAACAATGGTTGAGCAGTAAAACTGGTAGAATAACAAGAATATACTTTCCTTGTGTTGAATGCAGGTTCTCATCACCACTTAAAGATTTAACGTTTGCTACTGCTCAACTACTTACTCTAACTAGTGTACTCATCCTAATAAAAAACAAGAGAGAGAAACCACCACACGGCCTTTCTCCCTTGACAAAAAATGTGTAGAGCGTGAATCTGCTAGCGTTATTACTCTATCACGTCACACGAGAAAACGAGCATTCTAAATAGAAACCGCCAAGTTAGAGCCAAATTCAAAACGCCACCACTTAACGAGTACAAAAAATAATAAGAAGAATATTACGTAAGACAAGATCTATAACCCCCCTACCTCTGAGTAAGAAATCGTAAAAAATCTTTGACCCCCACCCACCCCAAAATACTTTGCATAATTTATGGACGGCCCCAAAGTAGCAGATCACGACTTTCTTATTGCTTGAAACGAACCAAACTTCGACTGGAAACTGGCAACAAACTTCTGTCTGCCATCTAGTAATTCGAGGAGATAACTACATTTATTCAATTTGTATCGCGTTTATAAGGAGACGTTTTTAGATATTAACATAAAGTTTTGAACACATTATATCTCACAATAATTAGAATGCCGGAAGAGAAGTTAATTGTGCTATGCATGGCTGTTTGAATTAATATGATATAAAGTGATCTCAAGTCGTTATACAGACTTTATAAAAACCAACAAATGCAAGTAAATTAATAAGCAATTTGATCACGTTCACTTGGAATTTATGCATTATGTATTTTATTACGAAAATTAGTATAATCTAATAGACTTGATGATACTTTTGTTTTGTTGAAGAGATAAAAAAATGAACTTTCACTATTTGTGCATGAAACAATAAATATCATATACAATAGCCATTCTAAATTGTTATTGAAAATCAACGAGATAAAACTAACAAGAAAAAATTAAATTTATTTAGCCAAGTAATAACAGCAAAAGGTGCTCCTTTGACAAATTGTTGAATCATAGATGGAACGGCAAATCTTATTTGTCGATCATCAAAGGATGGTATTCAGTGGCCATAAACGTATACATTGTTTGAGATTTCAATCAGTGGTTACACCCGATAGTATAATTGCTAATTTATTTGGACGAATAAAAGGAAGACATCACGACATTGGAAGGTTAAGAGAATCTAATTGGTTAGAGCATTTGGCTCCAATTCCTTGTTCTGAGAACAGGGCCCAATTTGTTTTATATGGAGATTCTGGTTATCCTTTGCGTTAACACCTCATTACACTATTCCGAGGTGCTAGCTTAACACCCGAGCAACAAGTATTTAATTCCAGGATGAATTTAGTAAAAGTGTGTGGAATGGGTATTTGGAAAAATAATTCAGATATTGTATTTGCTTTTCTAGATTTAAAAAAAAAATTTGAAATAGTATCTTCAGCCTGTTGGTAAACTGTATATTGTTGGTGCACTACTTAAAAACTGTCGCGCTTGCTTATCTGGTAGTGCAACATCAGATTACTGTATTTCAATTGTTAACCCTTCAAATTGGACAAATATTTGAAATGTAATCAATAAATAAATAAAGAATTTTTTCAATTTTATAAAAAGTTTTCTTCAAGTTTTATTCAAAGTTTTCCAAAGTATTTTTAATAGCGCTTCTTTCCTCTCTAACTTGGTTCAGTCTTGCTTTTGAAAAGTAAACTATGATAAGCTATTTTATAAACACAGCTATAAAAATGTTATTGACACTTTACGTCACTTGTTAAAAAATTAAATAATTAAATAATTTCTGGATTAGAATCGCCTGTTTCTTTACAACGTTATTCGTACATGCTTATATAATCGTTTCTTTAATAAAATAGGTCATAATTTTAACCGCAAACAGAAAAATTAAAGAAGTTTAACCAATCTTCTACTCGCCAATCTAGATGAAGCGAACGCCATTATCGACAGCCAAGAATTGCCAAATGGCGGCGCTCGGACCGGCTGCCTTACACGTTTTGCACTGATACGTACACCGCAACCTCTCTATTTTATACTTCTAAAAATAAGGTTGGTTCTGCAGTCTGTTACCGAAGTATAAAAACACCATAAATTTTGTTTTGTTTTAAATTTATTTTGAAACAATTACTGGAAAGATTAAATATTTTTGATCATCATTTTAATTATTTTATTAGCTTTTTTACAATTCATAAAGCGGCATAATTTTTTATCAAAAATATTCATTTTTTATATATTCAACATATATCATGTTTAACATCCTGGAATGATAAAGAAATTTTGAAGCTTATAAATAAAAAAGATGTCAACAAAGCAAGCTGCTGCTGAAATACCAATAGATGTATTTCGTGCAACTCTTTGGAGAACTTTAAATAAACTATGACAATGTAAAATATTTTGAAATGAAGTTGAATCTACCTTTTAATTGCCAAACACATATCAATAAATTTAAATTGGGCTAAAGACAAAATGGGAAGACCAGAAGAATGGCAAGAAATAACGTTTAGTGATGAGAAGTTATATGGCCCTAATGGGTTTTTATATTATTGCCATAATTTAAGAATAAAAAGCAGAATTAAATAAGCCACGAGTCTATATTTATATGGGGTAGTTTTGGAGGTAAATAAGATAGATTGGAAAAAAACTAATTTAGTATTTGTTGACAAAAATATGATTACATTTGTTGCATTAACTGGAAGACATAAATGATAGTTTCAACATTATAATGCTCTCATTCCTGTCTCAATGTCAACAAAAAATTGGTTTAAAAAAAAATATTGTTGTAATATTAACTGGCGTTCATGTTGTCCACATTTAGATCTTATTAAAATTTTATGGGGGATTTATCTGCCATTGTTTATCAAANTGTTCCGCGATGAAAACCAGCTTTAAGCAACGGCGTAGTCGAACGGTGTAAGTAATCCTACAATTTTTTGTTTATAGCATAGTTTATACAGATTATTCCCAAAAAATTATACGTATTTTGGAAATGTTGAGTGGAATTAGTCTAGAATCGGTTAATTTTATAGAAGAAAACCTTTCGAACAGCCTTAGTCCGTAAAGTTCCCACCTATCGGGCTGCGATTGGCTCACTCCTACAACGTAATTTTCGGTTAGCGTGGAACGTATCTAAGCGTTATAGGGGGGTCTACTGTACTTTGTTTCCGTTTGTTCATCTGTCGTTAGCTCTAGTTGACAGTCTACAATTTTACAAACACAGAGGCGACCTTTCTTTAGAGGCTACATCCTCTGCAATAAAATGCAAATACTAATTTTTTCAATTCGTCATACTACGTCCGTATTGGTAACTTTATCCGTCCGTGATATTTTTAATATTCTTCTGTATACCCGTAGTTCAATAGAGTCAAGTTTCTCTAATGTCCAGGCTTCCATTTCTTACAGAATACATTGAATATATAGCCCCTCACTAAGCATATCTTTAATTATAAGTTTAAATTTTTACTTTACTGCAGAATGGAAAGAAATAATTTTAATTATAACAAATGAAAATTACTAGTAGGCTAGACCTTTCTTTTTTTTAACAAATATAACACATTTTTCTGTTTACATATACATCTTTATGTATATAAATGGTAGTCAATTCATTTCATATGTTTTCCAAGAATGAATTTCAGAAATAGGACTTCAATAGTGTTAATGTTAAAAATAAGTTTTCGTCCGTTGCCTTTGTAACCCGAATAGTATCTAAAATCTTCAATAAAGTTTTGAGGCAATGCTATAACTAACAGACATTTTAACATCCAAACAATCCAGCAACGATTAGCGTAACTTTCTCAGCTATTATAAAAGTTAATTTTTAAATAAAATCTCACTTTATTAATCATAATAAAGAAAATTGCGTGTGCAGCCATCTGTTACGAGATTTTATTATAAAATCTTTATATATTATTAATTCTTATAAGATGACAAAAGCTTAATTTTTAGAATAGTGATGACTTTTATAAATAAATTATAATAATAATAAAGAGTAAAACCTTCATTAAGTCCGATCCCTCTCTAGAACACCCACTATTTTCCCATTGGCTTGATCTTTAATTAACAACCAAAATTTTATCGAATTAATCTATCGTTTACACAAGGCACCATTCCAAATTTCGTTTGTAAATTTTTATCCTAAATTTTAAATGTAACAGACGACACCACACGTGTTATCTTCCTTAAGCGATTAAACTAAATCAATTATAATCAGCACCTGAAACACACTATTAAACACTAAAACTGTAGAAATAATAACAAATGTTATATTCATTCGTTTATGTTTATTAATAAGCAGTAATGCGGCCAACGTTTTCAACGCGAAAACTTGTACGTCGGACGTTCAGCGCCGCTTTCCTAAAGGCCTAGAAGTTTGGCAATGGTGTTTGGAATGTCGAGCATGATTCCATTGACTATGCAAACACCATTGTCAAACTTCTAGGCTTATAGGAAAGCTGCGCTAAACGTCCGACGTACAAGTTTTCGCGTTGAAATCGTTGGCCGCAACCTCTCTATTACTTAATAGTTTTGTGACTGGTATACATGATTTGTCAATTCCTTCAAAAATATCTTGTATCTGAAGTAATATATTAAAAACGTTATACAGCAATTGGCACACCTATGCAATAAAAATACTTTATTATATGAATATTTGAAAAATTTATTTATAAATTACTTTAAATGTTATAAACATTCATATAATAAACCATTCTAATCTTATACAAATACCTGAAGTAGAAATTTTGTAGAAAGAATAAAAAATCTTCAACAATTAATTCCAATTTCATTTTCTCAAAAATTTTTCATAAAATTCAACGCCTGTCAATAATTTTAACGTGGTGAATTCAGCATTTTTAATTTTACAATTTGCAATTTCAACTTACCTTGAGATTAAGTTCTAACGGAAGAGGAATCGAATTGAATTTTCGAATTTCTTGAAAAGAATCAGCCTGTTGTTCGTAAATAATAATTTAATTTAAGTATACTAATGAATTTACACTACTGTAAATACATGGAGAATTACTTATTTTACACTTAACTAAATTTAATATTTGATAATTATTTTGTTTCGAACTTACTGAAATGAAGATACGAGAAACCACAAACGAAATCGATACCACCAAATATATGCAGAGAGTAGAGCAAAGTACAAGAAATTTTTGTATTTATGTAGTTGACATAGTAAATATTGTGTTGTAAAAACAGAACGATACGATATAAACGGAAATTCCATAAATAACAAAGTAAACATTTCTTCATATATCGTTGATTTCATCAATTAATTCGCAGATTTCCAAATGTTTTCGCATTATTTCGTTAATTTTATATTTTGCATTTTGTCTTACAGCCAAATACAACTGCCGCAATATTGCATTAAATCTTTCGTACATCATTATGCTTGATACAACCATTACGGTCATGAGCCACATTAGTAGGCTTAACTGTAAAATTATTACGTAATGAATACAAACGGAACAGAGGAGAGTCCGTTACCAAGTTGTATCCTGTTCTACTGCTTTAAATATGTAAAATGAAAAACAGACTGAACCGATTAATATATGAATGTACGCAGAGCCAAACAGAAAAATCGTGCCTATCTGCCATTTTTACAATCTTTCTTTTTCCTTGACATACTCTGAAATTCTTAAATCGAGAGATAATTTATATTTTGTGCCAGTACGAAGCATTATCAGCGTGGCACTGCCTGCAAGATAAACCATGCTCGAAAGGAATAGATTGTTCAAACTGCTTCCTGCTACCTTTTCGGGCGGACTACAAAACAATGGATCATCGTCTATTTCAAATCTCTGCATTGTTAACGTTATCAACTGTACGACAAATACTACATGCAGAAATTTTCCATAAATTGTTGCCCATTTCTTCTGTTTCTCTCTAAGCTGTTGGTGTTCGCAACGTGCGTAAATTATATCGCTGAAAAGTGCAGAAATATTTAGTATGGGACATAACATGCAATAAACGCAATTATCTGTCATTTTACCTAATAACTTGTGTATTGCATGATGTTAATTGGTCGCTTAGTAAAGTGCTAAAGCTTGCTTATATCTGCTTGATGATATGAATGTACCTGCATTATAAACATTCATGAACTAAGAATTTCTATTATGTAAGTTTCGATAGATTAATATTATTCCGTACGATTATAATATTCAGCTTCATTTTATAACTATGAAAATAAAATAATGGATATGCGCATCCAAATTATTACTTCCGTATAGAATATATTTAATTCTGAAACACGATTACTGCTTATTACTAAACATAAACTAATGAATATATCATTCGTTATCCTTTCTACGGTTTTAATGTTTAATTAATAATTTTTTTGGTTGCTGAATATAATTGATTTTGTTTAAAAAAAACGTGGGGGAAATGCAATTGGGTAAGCCTTTAGAGAAGAGTCTTCACATTAAACTATTTTCAGTTTATGTTAGACATGTGACTAAAACTTAATGTTGCAGCCCGGTCATAGTAAAGCAAGTACTAGTGTTTAGTTTTTTTTTATTGAATATAATTCTGGATATGACAAAATAAAATTCGAATTTTATATTGATTTCGAGTTTTCGTTGTTTTTCTTACATATGTCATTCCAAATAGAAGTTATAAAAGATACAATTCTAAAAAGTTTGAAAATAGACTTCTTAAAATAAACAAAAAATAAAAACTCCTTAATTACTTATTGAGTTATTATTCAAAGTGTAAAATTTAATATTAAATAATGAAATAAATCTGTTTTTATATAAAAATGTAATAAAATTTTAACTGGTTTGATACTATTTAAAAACACTAAACAGGAATATTTGATGTTAGATTAATTTACCGTGATAGGATTTCAGGTATTCACAGTTAAAGTCAATTCATCCCTACCTGTTTGCAGCGAAAACTGCTTACGAAAATTGCACGAAATTTTTGTGCATATTAATGGACAATTTTATAGAATATTTATAAGAGGAAAAAAGATTTAAAATATAACCATTATTAATTCACAATAACTTATTAGGATTATAATTCAGTAAATCATATTTTTATTTGTCACCTGAAAACATGTTTAACGTGAGATGATAGGAAGTAACGGTTTTAACGACCATTTTTTTATATCATTTCAAATCCAAAATCTGTTGTGAGGATAGACCTGTCTTTAGGATATGGTGTCCCTGATGCGAAGAATGGAATAGAATTTCATCCAGTAAAGATCTAGCCAAACAGTTGAAAGGTGCTAGGTGATGACACGTTCTTTGGTTTCTGAAAACCTGTTTTACACAGTTTGATGTTCGGAGAAACCGCATCCTCCATGGAACACTGTTCGACTCAAACATTGACAATGTTAGAGTGCTGCAATTACTGTGTTGATCAACAGCAACGAATATCTCTGACTGGTATGTGACCATGTATTGAATAAGCAATTTTTAAGAGAGATTGCTTGTAATAAGTTAACTTTAATTACACACACTGTATTATGAGATACATTGTGTCTGTAACTGAAGTAATTGTTAATTATTTATTTCCTACTTCATATTTATATACGACTCACAAATTAAAAAGTAGTATAAGCAAAGTAAAATTTTTTTTGTTTGTTTGTTTTATTAAATTAATTTATGACAACGCAACAGTTGGGCGAACTGCCCATGGAAAATGCCTTCCGGAAGCTCTTTTTTAAAGGTAAATGGCACTATTCAGACGTGGAGAAAGCCCAGAAAATCTGTGGCCAGCCCGTCCTCGCGAGGTACAAACTCATGACCGAACTTCCAGTGTTCAAGGAACGGAACCGCTAACCACTGGTGGGCAACAAAATGTTTCAAGCAGTCGAAAAAATTTTATTAGTCAATTTATTATGTACTAAATCTTGACTATTATGACTTAAATCATTCATATATATGTATATACATGACATATTGAGATTTCTGTCGAGCATTTTCGTATGCAGTGTACAAATATGAAGCTAAACAATTTTCCGTAATGTATACATTGTACATTAATAAAAAGTCTTAACATAAAATAAATATTATTTTATGATAATCAAAATTTTTATATATTCAATTAAATAAATTATTAGAAATATCATAGTTGATTACATCATCATTACCTTCTATCACTTCTCATCAGAATAAATTTTAAGATGTGAATTTAATTTGGTTTTTTCCTTAAATTTCGCTCCACATTTAATACATTCGTAAGAACCTTCTCCAGTATGTATATTCATGTGCTGATTTAAATGGGATCAATCAGAAAATCGTTGCGGACACAGATCACAGCTAATTGGCTTTTCTCCATGGTGACTTCGAAGATGATAACTCGTGTGTTCTCTCAACCTAAATCTGCATTCGCTGTGCCTACAGACAAACAGATAGCTTTCGGAATGAGTCATCAAATGCCTCCGAAAATTAGAACTATTGCTGTAAGTTTGTTCGCAAACTTCACATACATAAGATTTATCTCCTGTGTGAATTCTTCGATGGATATTTAAATGGTAATTTCTACTGAAGCTTTTGTCACATATTTTACATTTATAATTAAATTTTTCTAAATGAAGAGAAGTTTGCAACTTATTAATAATCTTATATACTGTACCTTAAATTAATTAAAGTTTTGTCTTTTACATAGAATGTTAAATTTGTTAATAATTAAACTTCCTGAATTTCTAGTACAGAAATAATTTTAATTAAATAAACGTAATTACTCCGAATATTTTGAATGAATTACAATCAGTCCTTTTGGTGTTTTTTAATTATCGATCAATAAATTGCAGAATAATTTGCATAAAANACTATTCTTTACACTTAACTAAAATTAATATTTCAGATTTATTTTGTTTCGAACTTACCGAAGTGAAGATACGAGAAACCACAAATGAAACTGATACCGCCAAGTATATGCTGAGAACAGAGCAGAGTACAAGAAGAATTCATATATATGTATTTACATGACATATTGAAGATTCGCTCGAGCATTTTCGTATGCAGTGTACAAATATGAAGCTAAACAATTTTCCGTAATGTATACATTGTACATTAATAAAAAGTCTTAACATAAAATAAATATTATTTTATGATAATCAAAATTTTTATATATTCAATTAAATAAATTATTAGAAATATCATAGTTGATTACATCATCATTACCTTCTATCACTTCTCATCAGAATAAATTTTAAGATGTGAATTTAATTTGGTTTTTTCCTTAAATTTCGCTCCACATTTAATACATTCGTAAGAACCTTCTCCAGTATGTATATTCATGTGCTGATTTAAATGGGATCAATCAGAAAATCGTTGCGGACACAGATCACAGCTAATTGGCTTTTCTCCATGGTGACTTCGAAGATGATAACTCGTGTGTTCTCTCAACCTAAATCTGCATTCGCTGTGCCTACAGACAAACAGATAGCTTTCGGAATGAGTCATCAAATGCCTCCGAAAATTAGAACTATTGCTGTAAGTTTGTTCGCAAACTTCACATACATAAGATTTATCTCCTGTGTGAATTCTTCGATGGATATTTAAATGGTAATTTCTACTGAAGCTTTTGTCACATATTTTACATTTATAATTAAATTTTTCTAAATGAAGAGAAGTTTGCAACTTATTAATAATCTTATATACTGTACCTTAAATTAATTAAAGTTTTGTCTTTTACATAGAATGTTAAATTTGTTAATAATTAAACTTCCTGAATTTCTAGTACAGAAATAATTTTAATTAAATAAACGTAATTACTCCGAATATTTTGAATGAATTACAATCAGTCCTTTTGGTGTTTTTTAATTATCGATCAATAAATTGCAGAATAATTTGCATAAAACATCATTAAAAATTAAATGTGCAGTCATACGATTTTCAGCAATTTTATAGCTAATTTTAAAACATGTTTATTTGAATTTTCGTAAATAAAAATTAACTTAAATTCATTGTTTGTTAATTTTACGTTATTTAAACGTAGTAAAATATTTAATTAAATA